CAGTTGACATCACAGTGGAAGCCAATTAAAGAGCTTGTGGAAACATCGGTGTCCTGTGGCTGGGTCGATTTTTCAATATCATCTGAGAGCAAAGGAAGTGTTCAGAAGACTGGCAGAAAGCTATAGCAGTCCCGTTGTGGAAAAGAAAGGCAACAAACGCGAGTGTACAACGTACAGAGCTATCTCTTTGTCAAGCAACAAAGGGAAAACATACACAAGGAAAATAGAACAACGAACTGTCGTAAGGAGAAACCTGAGCAAAGATCTGTTCGGATTCTGAAAGGGAAGAGGGTGCACAGTTGCTGTATTCGCATTACGACAGCTAAGCAACCCCCCTCCCCCCCACACACAAAAAACCCATCGAGCACGATAAGGAATCATACATCGTCTTGAGAAATCAGGGGGAGGCTTTTGACAAAGCAAACTATGCCAAACTATGGCAAACACTTGAAAAGTATAGTATCAGGGGACAAGTGCTAGACAATGTCAGAGCTCTATATACCAACTGCAAAAGTTAAGTAAGAACAAAGGAAGGCAACACAGACTGGTTCAAAGTATTTATCTCCCCTCCTTTTTATAATATTATGGGCACAACGCAAGACGCAAACCAAATCCCAGAAAGTCTTAATGAATTTCTGTTTGCAGACGACCAACATCTTACTCATCCAAACCAAAAAGACTCCGAAATCACAGTACCAAAGTGAACAACAGCTGCGAGAAATTTGGCGTGAAAATAAGCACATCAAAAGCAAATCTTATGAAAGTGAGCCAAAACCACAGTCCTCTGAACATCTATGTCCAGAGTAAAATACTGGAACATGTGAAGGAGTTTAAATATCTTGGCGGCCATTTTTCTGAAAACGGGTCAATACACAGAAAAGTAGAAACGCAAACTCAAAAAAGCCAACAAACACTGTCACCTACCAGCTCGCAGCCCTTCTATCTCATCCAACATCTCCACGGACACTAAGAGCTAGCTTATCACTTCAATATAATTTATACCAACCTTACGCTACCATTGCAGGATTTGGATATACAATTTAGCAAAACCCGCGAAAGAAAAATCAGTGCAATGCGAGATAAATATCTCCGCAAAACACTTAGTATCGTAATAAGAAGAGACAGGCAGAGAAATGAAGGAGTCAGATCTCGAGCGACTATTGTAACTGGGTCCTGTCTGCATTTAATAGAAAACAGAATTTTAAAAAAAAGGTGGTTTGACCACCTTTAACGAATGTCACCTTGACAGCCAGCTTCGAGAGCCTATAATAACACAAGCACTCAGGCTATAGGTCTAAAGGATGAGGTAGGCCAAACAAGAGACGGATTGAGGCAGTCCTGGAAACCCTGAAAAAATATAATATCCCAAATGACAGAGCTGCAGAGCTGGCCTGCCATACAAAACAGCATCTCTTTTCAACGCTTAATGGCAACAGAAGATGATAAAGTACAGTTACATAAAAGTATAAAAGGTACATTTACGTTTGTTTGATAAGGATCGTACAGCTCAGACAGTTGACGATGGCGAGGAAAGGCGATTAATACTATAGATCTATGCTTATATATATTATAATGTGTTCCTTTTCGTACATTGACAAAAACTGCCATCTGTGCGGGCTGTCGGAACAATGTAATGGAAAGGGAGGGGGCGGTTTTACTAGGTTTCACTGTATATACATGCACACACACACACACACACACACACACACACACACACACACACACACACACACACACACACACACATATATATATATATATATATATATATATATATATATATATATATATATATATATATATATATATATATATATATAGCGTAAGGTATTGAGCGGGATACGATTAACATTTTCAGTTGGCAAGAAGTTATGAAGTCCAAGAAGGCTAGGTGTAGATCTTTCCTACCACAAGATCAGGGGTGAAGCTGAAAGACAGCTGCAGCAGTAAATAGGATCCAGGGAGTAGCAGTAGAATGGCTGCAGAAAGAGTCAGGAGCTTAGAGGAGGGGGCAAAGGAGGTGAGGGAGTGAAGGCAAAAAGTGGAGAAGAAAGCAAGCATAGCTAGAGAGCAGGAAATTATGTGAAAGGAGGCGATTTAAGAGAAGAGAATTTTACCGTCCCTCTCCGGATTCGAACCCACGGCCTTTTAAATGAAAGATGAACAACTTAACTTTATGTATATACAGGTATATATATACACTAATATAGGTCGTGGGTTCGAATCTGGATAGCAACAGACACATTTCTTCTCTAAAGTTTTCTCTTTTCACACCCTTTCCTGTCTAACAAAGTTCTGTCGCCTACTTTCGTATATATATTTCATTATTTGTTTATAATAATAATAATATGATATTTCTATCGCGTAAATTCGTGTTACAATCATTGTTCTTTGCGCTTTACATAATATTCATGAAAAACATACATACAAGCACATGATAATATAATACATTCTACATTCACTAAAAATGACAGAGGAAATACAAGCGGAACTCTTCTGGAAAAACGTACGGTGTCATTTTACCACCGATTAAAAGTGTACTATTACATTGGTTCAAGACTCCCTCCCCTCTTTCTTCCACTTTTCTTACAGGAACCAAAGGACCCCCTTCCTCTCCTCATTCCAGGTATAAGATTATAATATTTGAACGTCCCCTTTTCTCCTCCATTATGGGTTGCTGTCTTGACAGTTTCGATGGTATCTGATTAACAAAGGCTCACATATATGTGAACAAGCTTAGTAGACAAAGAGGCTGCTCCGCAATGACATACTTTGACAGGTCAGATGAGTCAGTTCATTGACCATTGACCAACTAGTAGTTCCTCTGGGCGCCAGCTGATGCCTTCGCTGTTTGTCCTATTGGATTCCTTTCCCTCTAGCACCATCCAGTGTCCTTACACTGCTGATATACAAGATAACAGATAAATGCTACACTCACGTTATACCCATATACACATACGTACAGAAAGACAGAAACTCATAAATGGGCACATAACAGCCATATTCAGACCACAGTGAGACCTTTTTATGTGGTAAGTGGGATTTACGAAAGGATATCCTCGCGATGGGTTAAGTGATAGTTCCATTTACAAACACAACATATTTAGATGGCGAATCAAAATATTGAAGTGGGCAGAGCGTTAACTTCTTGCACTTTCTTCACTTAGAACGTACACAGTTTTGATTGCTTTTACGCTACAGCATTACTAATTAGCATGGGCCTGTTACTTGCATTCTTGTGTATAAATGGATGGGCACTGTTGTATGATTTGTGTGTTGTCTTCTCGTGAAATTATGGTACAGTATCCACCTACTGCAAGATGAACAATTTCATTGATCTATTAAAATGTGTACATTCATCTTGTCATTAATGACGATAATGATAGATTGTTAGCGCTAGTACTATTAGATCTAGGAAATTAATTGTTATTTGTTGCTATTTTAAAAATTTAAGTCTTGTGCTTGATTGAAAACACTGGTAGTTAGTGTTTTTATGGAAAACTATGGAGTTGAAGTTTATTTCTGGAGTTTCTTTTTAGGATATTATTATGTTTCCTGTCGTCTGTTTTGGGATGATGCTATGTTGTAATGAACTCTGGGTTATGTCGCGTACTTTTGGCGAGGAATCTGAGATGATTATTTCTACTTTTTTTGGGAAAAAATGAAAACCTCAGCATTCAAACGTACGTCCTTGAGCGGAGCATTGGATGCCCTTAGACCTGAAGAAAATATAAACTTGGAAGAAATGTTTTAGTTAAAATGAGGATGAGACAAAGTTGGACTCCTTTCAGTTGGGAAGATCATAAGTTTTTTGCCAGTTTATTTGAATGTCAATTTGCTTTACAGTATCACCAATCAGATGAGGAGTGAATTTATAAAATTGTGAAAAGAAACTGTTACAGTTGAGCAAATTCATTCTGTCTGTCTGTATAGTATTATCTTTTCTTCTTTTTCTTTTTACCTAGATCGATAACAAAAACATTTTACATGTAAAAGGAGCTTTGCTTGGCTCTATAAGTCATGCGGTTCTAGTCTTCTTTTGTTATACCTTATTAGGCTTGCAGATTTGTGACAGAGGCACATCACTCTGCAGTGCTCCCCATTTTCCTTTGTCTCATTGTTATAATGCAATGCTAGGGTTAGTATTAGATGTACACGATATCCAAAGTGTCATTTTTATGTAGTATGCAATGTTTATTAGTATGTACATAGCTGCCA